GGGGGGCGGCGAGAGAACTCTTACACACAGTTGATGAGAATGCAAATTAGTACAACCACTATGAAAAACAGTATGGAGTTTCCTCAAAAAACTACAAATAGAACTACCATATGATACAGCAATCCCACTACTGGGTCTGTATCCAAAGGAACAGAAATCCGTACGTCAAAGGGATCCCTGCACCCCCCTGTTTACTGCAGCACTATTCACAATAGCCAAGATATGGCATCAACTCAAGTGTCCATCAACAGATGAATGGATAAAGAAAATGTGGTATATGTACATAATGGAATATTTTCAGCCATAGAAAAGAATGAAATCCTATCATTCCTTGCAACATGGATGAGTCTGGAGCATATTATGTTAAGTGAAATAAGTCAGGCACAGAAATATAAATACCACATATTCTCTCTCATACGTAGGAGCTCATCGAAGTAGAAAGTAGAATAGTGGTTACTAGAGGCTGGGAAGAGTAGGGAGGAGGGGTGATAGGGAGAGATTAGTTAATGGATACAAAATTACAGTGAGATGGGAGAAATGAGTTCCAGTGTTCTATGGTTAACAATAATATATTATATATTTTTAAATAGTTAGAAGAGAGGATTTTGATCTCAACACAAAGAAATGATAAATGTTGGAGGTGATGGGCATGCTAATTACCCTGATTTGAGCATTATACATTGTATACGTGTATCAAAATATCATATTATACTCCATAAGTATGTATAATTATGTGTCAATTAAAAATAAATTTTAAAAAAATTCAGGGAAGGAACTGGTTCTGTAAATACCAATGCAGAAATATTAAATTAAACAAAATAGATCACAAATCAAATTTATTACAAAATAACTTTGATTTGCTAAGTTTTGATAAGACTAGAACTTGGAATACTGAATTGCACTCTCAATAATACAACTCTATTTTGTCATAGAAAACATACTCAAAACAATAATAGATAAAGAATAACAGCTTTATCTTCTCTTTCATCTCTGCTTGAAGACAAAATCCAAGGAAAACAGTCTACATGTTACTTTTAGAAAATGTTTCCATACAAATTATTGTTAATGAAGCATTAATTTTCTGTTTTATGGTCATGTTGTATACATTGGAAAGGACATAGTATATGATGAAATTGTCCCAATAATTTGAA